TAGTTACCGGACAGGAAACAGCGAGTGAGCATTAACGGCACTAAATCCGATTGGAGCAACGTCACTAGTGGAGTTCCCCAAGGCTCAGTACTTGGACCACTATTATTTATTATATACATAAACGACATAGATATCGGCGTAGACAGCAACATAAGTAAATTTGCTGATGACACTAAAATAGGACGTGTAATTAAATCTGACTACAGGAACATCTAAACAAACTTGTACTGGTGGTTATATAAGTGTGGGAGTGATGTTGAACCGGTGGTTATATAAGTGTGGTAGTGATGTTGTAGCGGTGGTTATATAAGTGTGGTAGTGATGTTGTAGCGGTGGTTATATAAGTGTGGTCGTGATGTGTACCGGTGGTTATATAAGTGTGGTAGTGATGTTGTACCGGTGGTTATATAAGAGTGGTAGTGATGTTGTAGTGGTGGTTACATAAGTGTGGTAGTGATGTTGTACCGGTGGTTATATAAGTGTGGTAGTGATGTTGTAGTGGTGGTAATATAAGAGTGGTAGTGATGTTGTAGTGGTGGTTATATAAGTGTGGTAGTGATGTTGTACCGGTGGTTATATAAGTGTGGTAGTGATGTTGTACCGGTGGTTATATAAGTGTGTAGTGATGTTGTACCGGTGGTTATATAAGTGTGGTGTATGTTGTAGGTTATATAAGTGTGGTAGTGATGTTGTACCGGTGGTTATATAAGTGTGGTAGTGATGTTGTACCGGTGGTTATATAAGTGTGGTAGTGATGTTGTAGTGGTGGTTATATAAGTGTGGTAGTGATGGTAGTGGTGGTTATATAAGTGTGGTAGTGATGTTGTACCGGTGGTTATATAAGTGTGTTGTATGGTTATATAAGTGTGGTAGTGATGTTGTACGGTGGTTATATAAGTGTGGTAGTGATGTTGTACCGTTGTGGTTATATATAGTGTGGTAGTGATGTTGTAGTGGTGGTTATATAAGTGTGGTAGTGATGTTGTACCGGTGGTTATATAAGTGTGGTAGTGATGTTATAGTGGTGGTTATATAAGTGTGGTGGTGATGTTGTAGTGGTGGTTATATAAGTGTGGTAGTGATGTTGTACCGGTGGTTATATAAGTGTGGTAGTGATGTTGTAGCGGTGGTTATATAAGTGTGGTAGTGATGTTGTAGTGGTGGTTATATAAGAGTGGTAGTGATGTTGTAGTGGTGGTTATATAAGTGTGGTAGTGATGTTGTAGTGGTGGTTATATAAGTGTGGTAGTGATGTTGTAGTGGTGGTTATATAAGTGTAGTAGTGATGTTGGCACCGAGGTAATAGTTATATATATAAAATTAGTAGTGATGTTGTACCGGTGGTTATATAAGTGTGGTAGTGATGTTGTACTGGTGGTTATATAAGTGTGGTAGTGATGTTGTACCGGTGGTTATATAAGTGTGGTAGTGATGTTGTAACGGTGGTTATATAAGTGTGGTAGTGATGTTGTAGCGGTGGTTATATAAGTGTGGTAGTGATGTTGTAGCGGTGGTTATATAAGTGTGGTAGTGATGTTGTACCGGTGGTTATATAAGTGTGGTAGTGATGTTATAACGGTGGTTATATACAGGTAAATATAGTAGTGATGTTGTACAGGTGGTTGCTTAATTGTCGTAGTGATGTTGTAACGGTGGTTATATAAGTGTGGTAGTAATGTTGTAGTGGTGGTTGTCTAGTTATGGTAGTGATGTTGTTGAGGTGGTTGTATAATTAGGGTAATGATGTCATAATGTTTTAATTATGGTAGTGATGTTGTAGTGGTGGTTATATAATTATGGTAGTGATGTTGTTGAGGTGGTTGTATAATTATAGCACTGATGTTGTAGTGGTGGTTGTATAATTGTAATAGTGATGTTGTACCGTTGGTTATATAAGTGTGGTAGTGATGTTGTACCGGTGGTTATATAAGTGTGGTAGTGATGTTGTAGTGGTGGTTGTCTAATTATGGTAGTGATGTTGTACCGGTGGTTATATAAGTTTGGTAGTGATGTTGTAGTGGTGGTTGTCTAATTATGGTAGTGATGTTGTACCGGTGGTTATATAAGTGTGGTAGTGATGTTGTAGCGGTGGTTATATAAGTGTGGTAGTGATGTTGTAGTGGTGGTTATATAAGTGTGGTAGTGATGTTGTAGTGGTGGTTGTCTATAGTGATGTTGTAGTGGTGGTTGTCTAATTATGGTAGTGATGTTGTACCGGTGGTTATATAAGTTTGGTAGTGATGTTGTAGTGGTGGTTGTCTAATTATGGTAGTGATGTTGTACCGGTGGTTATATAAGTGTGGTAGTGATGTTGTAGCGGTGGTTATATAAGTGTGGTAGTGATGTTGTAGTGGTGGTTATATAAGTGTGGTAGTGATGTTGTAGTGGTGGTTGTCTATTTATGGTAGTGATGTTGTACCGGTGGTTATATAAGTGTGGTAGTGATGTTGTAGCGGTGGTTATATAAGTGTGGTAGTGATGTTGTAGCGGTGGTTATATAAGTGTGGTAGTGATGTTGTAGTGGTGGTTATATAAGTGTGGTAGTGATGTATCGGTGGTTATATAAGTGTGGTAGTGATGTTGTACCGGTGGTTATATAAGTGTGGTAGTGATGTTATAACGGTGGTTATATACAGGTAAATGTAGTAGTGATGTTGTACCGGTGGTTATATAAGTGTGGTAGTGATGTTGTAACTGTGGTTATATAAGTGTGGTAGTGATGTTGTAGTGGTGGTTGTCTAGTTATGGTAGTGATGTTGTTGAGGTGGTTGTATAATTAGGGTAATGATGTCATAATGTTATAATTATGGTAGTGATGTTGTAGTGGTGGTTATATAATTATGGTAGTGATGTTGTTGAGGTGGTTGTATAATTATAGCACTGATGTTGTAGTGGTGGTTGTATAATTGTAATAGTGATGTTGTAGTAGTGCTTGTATAGTTATGGTAGGGATGTTGTATAAATGGAAGTCTGGGTTAACCAAAGCTGGTATTACAAAGGTACTCAAACTATTTAACCAGAAGCGAACCCCCTAACAATTGTTTAAAATTGGACAAATTTAGATTTTGGCGCGAGATAGGTAAACTTTGGTTTGAACATCGAGTAGTTTATGAGTGGAAGAAATTACCGAACTTTATCATTAACTCTAACACACTGGGTAGCTTTAAAGATTTATTGGACGGATATATGAGCGATAGAGGTTGGGTGTAAACGGGGCCGCCTAGTATGGGCCGATAGACCTGCTGTAGTTTCCTCCATTCTTAAACTAGGAATCAGCAGCACCAGAAGCTGCTAAAGGGAACAGCAGAGGCAGTAACAGCTAAAAATAGAACAACAGCAAAATTCCGAACAGCAAAAGCAAGAGAAAACACAGCGATAGCAAATACCGATGACAAATTCACAAACAGCAACAGTACAGCAGGAGCAACCAACAGGGAGAGAAGACCAAAGAGAAGTGGGTGGGGGGGGGGGGGGGGGCGGGGCAGGAACACCGAGGACCACACCACAGAGTCTCTACCATCCCGTGGACATGAAACATTCACAGTGGAGGGTGACAGCTTCCTAGTGACCACCCTCAACCCTCTCACCCCCTGTGTCTACCCCTCTCCCTCACCCCTATGTTGACCACCCCACTCCCTTACCTCCCTCTCCCTTCCTCTCACTTTTCTACTCGTCAGACTTCCTCTCCCATCACTTCACCCCTCCCATTCAATAGATTCCCTCTCCCTTTTACTACTCTACTGACTCCCTCTCCATCCCACTCATCCTCCCACTCGCCATACTCTCTTCTCACCTTTCGTCCCTCTCAACCTATACATACTCTCTCTCTCTCAACTCTACATACCCCCCCCCCACACACACACACTCTGACGGTGCTCCACAGTGCCAACTCACGACTAGAGTGCCTCCTACAAAAAAGGTAAGTGAGCACACACACACATCATCAACAGAGTGGTGGAGGCCTTTGGGAGCGACCCTAGGGGCTTGTCGTTATGACCATGTGTGTCTAACAGTTGACTCTGGAGGATCTTTTCTACCGGTTTTAGGGATGTGTCTGGGTTTATGGTGGAAATATATAAATATATCTCTTAGTGTGTGTGTGTGTGTGTGTGTGTGTGTGTGTGTGTGTGTGTGTGTGTGTGTGTGGTGTGTGTGTGTTTGTGTGTGTGTGTGTCCTCTATTACCCCTTCTTTCTACGTCATATGGTCCACAGTTATATCTACAGGACACCCCCAGGGCACACACCACCATCATCTCCTCCACAGGTCAACCATCCACCTCCTCTCCCTGACCCGACAGCGACACGTATACGCCCCCCCCGGCCACAGGACGAGAAGGTAAGAGAGGGGGGCCGCTCCAAAAACAACGCTGGGGTGCCTCCCAGTTGTAAAGATCCCCGCTTAAAGAAAAAACTTCTGCCCAGAGCCATCCTGGTGAGGCTCCTGTGTGCCGGCGAGGTGAGGCTCTCCACCTCCTCGCGGGTCTGTGGGATTACCTCCACCCTGATACACCCACTGGGAGATTCACCCTCCTCCATCAAGGTGGAGGAGGGTGGTGGTGGTGAGGATCAGGACCCCCAGCAATGACATCACCTATTCCCCTTCCCATCTTCCCATCCCTCTCCCCTTCCCCTCATCATTCCCACACCCCATCCCGCTCCCCTCATCCCTCTCCCTATCCTCCCCCCACCGCCACCCCCGCTCTGAAATGATTAACGACCTACACATTTATACGACAAGTTGGTCAATTTGGGACTCGGATAATCACAGTTGGTTAATTAAAAGACAATCAATTTCTCTATCCGTCACTTTTTAGGCAGGGAATATAAATAATGTACCCGCAAAATTAGACAAAAAAAAAAATTAAGCCATTCAGTACAATAATTAAATGAGAGAAAACGTTCAACAATAGTGATGGACTGGAGGGGCGCGAAAAAAATATATTGTAAACATTAAATAAGAGAAAACGTAAAATAGCGAAAGGTTGTAGGGGTTACTCACGTAGTTCTGAGCTATGTCGGGGTGGTTGTGTTGGATGCCGTCGTCGAGGATTGAGATGACGACGCCCTTGCCCGTGTAGCCCCTAGCCCAGGCGGGTCCCACGTTCATGTCGTAGCCGCCGATGGCCCCCTCCTGTAGATACCACTGCTGGGCATACAGAGGGTCCGGGAACCTG